CTGAAGCAGCAGTGACTGGTCCAGTGTGCGCGCTTTGGGGACAGGCCTGAAGCAGCAGTGACTGGTCCAGTGTGCGCGCTTTGGGGACAGGCCTGGCAAGAGGCTGGAAGTGGGGGAGGCAAGTAGAAGGGGGTGGGCTTGACCAGCGTGCTGAGATGGAGATGGGGAGGAACAGACTGTAGCGCTGGCCAGAGGCTGAGAGAAGAAGGGGTGAAGAAAAGCAAACTCTAGAAGAGAAGGTTTGGGATGAGTTTGGAAACCCTCAAGAGATGCAGGGAAAAGGGACAAGGAGGCCAGTGAGGGTGGAGGACAGGGAGGAGGGGAGAGGAGATGGCGGCCATCTGAGTTACGCTCCTGGGGGTCGGCCAGCACGACTTCCACGGAGGAGCCACCGAGTCAGGAGGATGGGCCCTGGGGGGCCGTGGAGAGGGAGGAGCTTCCCTGTCGCGGGAGAAGAGTGCTGGCAGGGGGACAGGGAAGGTCACAGGTGGCAGCAAGAGGAGGGGGCTAGCCAGGCTGGAGGGGCAGCAGACAGGGTGCGGGGGGATCCCAGCATGTCCAGCCTTGGGAGCAGAGAAAGAGCAGTGGGAATGCGGCCTCACTTCCCTTCTATGTGCCTGGAGCCAGCTCCCACACCGGGTTCACCATGGACCCAGGAGTGGCAGGTTTCCCGTGCTGGCGATGCTGAGAGTCTCTGATTAAGAGGCTGGGAAAGGAACGTGGGACTGCTCGCGGGATATGTGAACTGGAACCGGATCCCTTTCCCGTGCTGAACCTGGGGGATGTCGCATGCCACTGCTGCCTGGAACGCGGGTTTGATGGGCCAGTCGGTGGAAAAGCACGGGCTCTGGGGCCGGCTAACCTGATGTTAACCCTGCCTCCATCTCTGCCCAAGTATTGGCTTAAATTCCTAACTTTGGGAAACTTCAATATCGTTATCAAGAAAAACGGAGACAACAGTACTTGACTTGGGCTTATTCTCAAAGTTCAGTGAGACAGAGTCCGCAAAGCGTCTAGCACAAAGCTGTGTGCACCAGGGTGCCCAGCGGATGTAAAGTCACCATCGTAGCCTTTGGCTTCCGGATGTCTCCACCATCCAGGGTTTTGAGGACTGACTCTCTGTGTGTAGGGACACTAGGCTGCCTGAGGCTCAAGTTTCTAGATGACCCAGGGAGAGGAGAGGAGGCAGGTCTCGCCATGGCTGCAATCATCAGAAATCAAAGACATCATCAGATCTAAAGCTTACAGAGATTGTTTTCTGATTCTCTTTGTTATTTCCAACACTGTAAATAGGGACAAGCCTCAGTTTCTAAGGTCAATAGTTGCAGAGCAAATGGAAGAAGTGGCAGGACGGGGTGAAGAGGTCTCATCAAGACCAGTTCCTGTTACTGTTTTACCAGGACACTAGCCTGGCACTAGAGGTCTCCTGAGAATGTGCTCCTTACAAACAACAAAAGCAAACGGGACGCTGGTTCACAATCACTACCGCGACGTGGTCCTGAGTGTCGCACCGTAGGAGCTGCAGGTGCTGAAGAAACACCTGCTGAGGCCTTGGTGGCCCACCGGCCTGGGAGTCGGCGTCAGAGGTCTGTGGGCAGCACCGGGATTTGATGCTGCAATTATTTCATTTGCAAAGAAACATCGTCAATAAAGAGTATTGCAGGAAATGTTAACTACTGTTTTGTTTTTTTTTCAAACATTACATCATCTTCCTGCCACCTTTTGTTGATTTACATTTTTTAAAAACTGAAGTCAACAAAAAGCAAAGTTATTTTTAAAATAGGATTGGCTTTTAGGAAAAAATGTCAATGTTGTTTTTGTACTTAAAAACAACAAAAACAAAAATCTCCTGTTTTGGACCATCCCAGGATCTATGGAAATTACAGAAGTAAATGATGGTGAGCTGAGTGACTTACTGAGATTTACTTTCCACCTGTGGTAACCCAAACTAAAGACTAACCATGGTGGCCGGCATGGTGGCTCTCGCCTGTAATCCAAACACTTTGGAAGGCTGAAGCTGGAGGATTGCTTGAGGCCCGGAGGTCGAGACCAGCCTGGCCAACATGGTGAAACCCCGTCTCTACAAAAAATACAAAAATGAGCCGGGCGTGGTGGGGCGTGCGTGCAGTTCCAGCTACTCAGGAGGCTGAGTCAGGAGGGTGGCTTGACCCCAGGAGCTGGAAGCTGCAGTGAGCTATGATCACACCACTGCAATCCAGCTGAGGTGACCAAATTAAAACAGAATTGCTAAGGCTGTCAAATTTCATTGGCCTTGTACACAAAGAGAGTGCTCAGACAGACATACTGGAAGAGCTGCTTCATGAGAAAAGATTCTCCAGTTCCAGCCCTGGAATGACGGGTGCCGCAGGCCAGGGTGCCTGATGAACGGGGCGGTTTTGGAGTCCCCGATGTATGTGGTATGTATAATATCACTCTAGTTTGTCGTTCTGCTGTCACTTGATAATGATCCTGTAGTTTCAGACCCCACATTCTATTTGTAAAAAAAAATGATGCACGGAGAGAGAGCAACTAGACTTCCTAAATGAAATGCTCATACTGATTTGTGACATCTAGGAAAAGGGACTAAAACTTCATCCTATAAAATCACTCTTGGCCAGGTGCGGTGGTGCACACCTGTAATCCCAGCTACTCAGGAGGTTGAAGCACAAGAATCACTTTAACCCAGGAGGTGGGGGCCGCAGCGAGCGGAGATCGCCCATCAGCAGAGGACTGGATGAGGAAACAGCGGCATCTATGCATCATGGACTAGTCAGCCAGAAAAAGAATGGAATCGTGTCTGTTACACCAGCATGGGTGAAACAGGCGGCCACTACGCTCAGTGGAGTAACTCAGACACAGAAAGCCAACTGCTGAGTGTTCTCACGTAGACGTGAGTGGGAGCCAAACGACGGGCCCACAGGGACACACAGGTGGAATAACAGGCACTGGAGACTCCAGAAGGTGTGAGGGGCTGAGAAATTACCTATGGGGTACAATGTCCACTACGCGGGTAGCAGGTTCACACAAAGCCTAGACTTCACCACTACGCAGTGCACGCATACAAGAAACCTGCACCCGTATCCCCTGGATCTATTTAACAGAAAAAGGGCCAAGCAAATAAATGAACACATAAATATCACCGTCACCTTTTTCCTGAAAAAGAAAGAAGAAAAGTCACTTTCTCTCCTCTCTTCCGTAACCTAAGCGCTCTTCATTCCCCTGCCTGGGCTTCCCGAGCCACCTGCGGGGGTGCACAAAGCAATGAGTTCCAGGCGAGCCACTGCAGACAGAGGGCAGACGCACCCCGCAGGCCATGAGAGTCCAGAGCGCCTCGTGAGAAGATGGCGTCCAATAGACACCATCAATCAAGGGAGTGGGCAAAACAGCAGTTGTTTTAAACATTGTATCTTCCTTCTTGTTCCTCTGTTGATTTATATTTTTAAAAGTCAGAGAGGATATTGAGGCTGGAAAGCAGGAAAGGCCTGTTCCACGCTCACATTTACAGGAGGGGCTGTGACTCAGCCGGGCCTGATGAGACACCGCGCATGACCCTGGAGGGTCACCAGCCACTGCCTCTGGCTCAGGGACGAAGTGGCAGGGATTCGGAAAACCAGGAAGTGTGTAGGAAAATTCCCTTTCCCTTAAGTAATGTTTTCTGACTTGCCAAGGCACTAGAAAATAACTTAAGGATTACAGGGTTCCAGACCTTGGCAAAAATAAAGGCGCTGAAGAGAAAGAGCGGGGAAGTGAGCCGAGTTAATGAGAAACAAGCCAGCCCCGGGGGATACGTCAAATGAAGCCGATACCCCATTACACTTCATCTTTCCCTACTTTCTTGTTAAGTGTAGGTCTGCCCATTGATCCCGGCTGGGCACAGCCAGGAGACAGACCCTCCAGAAGGAGGAGGAACCTGCCGCTCACACCTGCTGGAAAACCACGCGGGAAATGCCCCACGCTCCGACCGGGGCTGTCTTCGCATACGTCAGCGTCAGAAAGTTGCCTCCAGCAGGTCTTCTCCTTCCTTGAGGGAGTGTGGGTGGCCAAGGGAACATTGAAAGAAATCAAGAGAAGGCCATTTACAAAAAGATTATTTGCCAGACCCCAAAAAACTGGATGAAACATGCTTGGCATCGGGCCCTGCTTTGGAGAGGGCCGATCTTACTCCAGCACACTGCTCAAATAGTAGGAAGGTCAGTAGGAGAGCCAGTGTCTTCTGAGGGACATCTTGGTGACCCAGGTGACCAACAGAAGCCGTGGGGCCCAGCATGGGCAACCCATGGTGCCATTACCCCTGGTCATCCATGGCCCACACAGCCAGCCACCGTCCTGCACTCACGGGAAGGGAAAACGCGGGCTTCTGTCAAATGTTTGGTTGCGTTGCTGCTATCACTGCGTGTTCTTGGTTTTGAACATGAGCCGGTTTATTTGTTTACACCTCACTCTACAATCTCAGGATAGTCTTAAATGAATCTAGGTACATACAGGAGGAACAGTAATAATGTCTATATCCTTTTTACAATGTCCAGAAAGCAGCCGTCAGAATGTAGCAACAGCAGCTGAAATACACACTGTGAAATGTGGTACGATGATGTTTTATTTTGTAGAGATGGAGTCTCCCTGTTGCCCAGGCTGGCCTTGAACTCCTGGGCTCAAGTGATCCTCCCCGGCCTTGGCCTACCGAGGAGCTGGGACCATGACACCAGGGCAGCTGGCTGGCACACTGGTTCTTTGCTGCCCTCCTGAGACAATGCCAGCGAGGAGAGGTCGGCGGTAACATCTTCAGCACATCCACGTGCACCGTTCCTTCTCCCAACTTCTCTTTCACTGGCTGAGATTCTTGGGGCAAAGTCCTGAACGAGGTGAAGCCTCAGTCCTACAGCGCGCCTGTGAGCTGGCTGCCACTGCTGCAGCACAGACTGAACGGCGGAAGGAAAGGCTGCTGAAGCCATGGCTGCGATGGAGATAAACTGGCCCCAGTTTTCTAATGATCTCTCAGAGGCGGGATGAACACCTGGTCTAGTGAAGATTGGTGTGCTGTCCGTCAGTGTGGTGAGCGGCCCTAACCGGAAGGTGTGAGCTTTGGAAGGAAG